AACACCATTTGCAATTGAAATTGGTTCATCAGCATCAATCTCAGATTGAAATTGGAAATTTCCACAAGGGTTACAATTTGTGTTATTGCAGACACTATGGGTTGGGTGAAACATTGACCAACCGGACACTGTTTTACATTTGGTTATAGTGAAGATTTGTTTGAATGCTTTCAACCCAGTGATTAGGGCTCTGAATCAAGCCCTGTGGTGCCTGGATACTGGTTCTTTGGTCAAGATATTGCTGTTGTACAAGTCAAAAGTCATGTTTTATACACTGGAGTATGTGGGGCGCGCCCACCCCCAAATCCAAGAGAAAGGCCGCGCCCAGGCGCGCTTGCGCTGGGCGCTTCCAAAGGCACCAAAATTGTGCTGCACCCACCACATGACTTCAGGCAGCCACCACAGTCTGTGTTTCATGTTTGTCAATTCCTGGGGAGAAGGTTTGTTCAGAGCGTTGTTGACCACTTGCCGGAGTGCTACATCAAATGCATCAATTTCTTCATGGTTGAGAAGAGGATGAAGTTCAAGTTTTGCTGTTGTCAGTCTCCTAAAACACAAGAAACCCATCAAATCATTTTGTGGGTTATAACCACTTGCCACAAAAAATTTGGGCTTGTTATTTGTTAGGACAGTGGCAGATATATTCCTCAATGTATGATAGATTGGATTTATCACAGGATAATGATCTTGCCTCACATAGAGGCAGGCACGGGGTCTGTTGGGTTAAGTGAAAGTCTTGGGGGAGGGACATATGATAGTACAGGTGGCTTTGTTTGCTTGTAAGCTATTTATTGGTTTAAAATAGGGAGTAAGTTCTGGGATTGAAATTGAGATGGTTATGTGCTTTGAGCGACTGCAATTCCACTGTAGAATTGAAGCAGTGTTCTGCATTGTCATCTGTTCTCAACACCAGTACACTAACATTGAGTGTGGGATGAGACAGGCTGTTTTGTGATGATGATGGTTGGCAAGCCACTGGTGTTGTGCGGTGGGAGTTGACTGGAAATCCCTGCACCACACATAGGGACAAAGGGTGGTGAAGGAAATGGTGTGATTCTCTTGAAACAGACAGGGAAGGTCAGCATTAAGGTCAGCCTTCATTTTGCACCTAGCACAGGCTGTGCATTTCAACCCTTCCAATTGGGCAGGTGTAAGTGTGGTGCATTCCAGCGCAAGTAGGACACATCAGGGCAAGTGAGTACACTGCTGCTGTGTGTTGATACCCTGGAAGTCAAAGCATTGGCGAGGGGATGGACCAATTAGCTCAGTGCAGTGGCAACCCTTGCCCTGCCAGATTTTTGTCTTGACAGCTAGGGTTGCTTGAATAAGGGTCTTAAACCAAATTAGCAGGGATAAGTGATGTTGGGAAATTTCTGCACTGGTGTCCTTCTTGAGCCTTCAGACTACCATTGTGGCATCAAGTTATAATGAACTATTACAAGTCTTTGGGAGCTCTAGATCTTCTTGTCTTGATGGGTTGAATGTGGTGGGCACACCCTGGACTATCACCGCATGTGGTCCTTGTTTGTTCAAGGTTTGGTGATATCTTACTCAGCCACTCCTTTTCTTTATTGCAAAGGGACTGGGCATGTCTTGTGAATCTAAATAAATCCAAGGTCTCCCAATGGGTGGTGGCAAACATTCCTAACCTTAATAGTGTTAGTGTCTTTTGGTTTCAGCAAAATTTAACTTGCTTTGAGCTCCAGTTTGGGGATTTCAATCAAATCTGGGAAAGACTTTGCAGTGTCTGGTATCTTTGCAGGGTCCAATTGGTTGGGAGTGATTGTGTGATCAGAGTGAGGTCTTGATCCTGTCTTTGGCTGAGAACAGTCTTTTGTTTGAGTAACTTTTTGAGGAGGAGAAGAGGAGGGAGTGTTGATAGGAGCATGTTGTGATGCTTTTGACACAAGAGTTCTTTGATGGAGCTTGCTTCCTGCCTGCTTGTATTGTAAGGCCATCAGCCACAAGCTTTGCGATTGTTTCAGAAAGGACACCAATACCGTCAGCAATGGTTGGAACCTTGAACTCAAATACTGATGAGAAGAGCGGAGGTGGAATCTGTCATGCTCATACAGCCTGGATCAAAGGCTGGCTGTCTAGCTTCATCAATGCAAGCCTGTTCCTTGATCAAACTGGTCAAGAAAAGAATTTCAGCAGCTGAATTGATGTCAACCTTGATTGAGCTGGTCTTTTTGGACTTGGGCAGAGGTGTGGCCTTTGACTTCCATCAAGTGTTGGATCAAGACATCAAGGGGCTTTGATGACAAGATCAACCTCCCTGGAAACAACTTGGCTATTTGGGCCAATCAAGTAGTAGTTGATAACTTGTTGGATTTCATGAGAGTACAGATTGGTGGGGTGCTCAGATGTGTTTGTTTTTGATTGCGCTATAGAGGAGGCATGGGAGTGACAGAGCTGGGTCCAGTAGTGGTCATTGCGCTGTTGTACTCCGACTGATTGTCCTGAGGAGTTGACATGACTTGAGTATTGGGACAGGTAGTTTGATGTCCATCCTAACACGCGGAACAAGATAGAAGTGACATGTAAGAGTGAGAGAGGGGGGTTGAAAGAAGTTGAAAAGTTGAGATAATGCGTTGGATGACTGCTTGCGCAGTCACCGAATTGGTCACGTGACTAAATTCGAAAATTTGGTTCGGGACACAACCCGATAAGTTAACGTCCGGACACGCCTGCGGGTTCAGATCGGATGTAATGTAATCAACCGCTAAAGCCAACTTGAACTTTTGCATCTTCAACTTATTTGAATTTACCTACCTTTCAACTTACCTTCAACCCCCGAGCTACTGAAAGTTCAACAGCAATAAATGAAATCACTACACCAACGATAACACCCTGATCCTGATTCTTGAACTAATCAGAAGCAAACGTCATCATCACGGATCAAACTTCAATCTCATCACGAATGCGACCACAAAGTAACCATTCGAATCGTCGATCCACCTCAAATTCATCTCTATTCGATTGTTCATCTTCATTTCAAAGAAACAATCAAATCACCATCATCATTCAAAACATTAAGCTTCATTCAACAAACATGAATAAAAGAAAGTCCATTCTAAGGTCTCACGGACGTGTTTCATATTGCAAAAGAGCTCAAATGATTGGCAAAGATTGAAGGATAAAGATCTATGTTTTCGGGTCCCCAGATCAATGTTAATTTATGATACATAAAAGCGCAATCCTTCTGTGATGTGAATAGCTGAGTATCGAAGCCAGGAAGCGTGTAGTGCACTGAAGTTATCCTTTGTTCTCTCAGTAAACGTGTCTTCATTCTTGCTCCATCTCATCATGTTCACCTTGATGGATGCGCACTGTCTGGATGCGAAGCATGTGACACCCCTCTAGGCGACCTTGAGATTGACCTACAAGGTTGATTCTCCTTGTTTCTCTTTTGACGCATCTTGGCAAACTGAGTTTCATCTCAATGTCTTTAATCTTCATATTTCTGCTCCGTCATCTCAGTTACCTCGGAAGTGGCGCAACCCGGCCTTTTCGAAGAGATGGATATCGAAACTGATGAGGCCGAACATAGTATCGAACTTCATCTTCCTTACATCCGACACATTTCTAAAGCGTTCGTAATACTAAGTTTTCAAATAATCAGTCCGGTCTTGTGTTTGAACAAATAGCTAATCAGTCTTTTGTCTTCCAATCTGGCTGTATCATAGTCAGACCATCACCATTGCAATTTGTCACTATACTTATAGGAGCTGAAACCGATACTCAATGACTTGCAGTCGCAATTTCTTCGGAGTTTAGCAAGCGTGTCAATCTCTTCACTTGAACCGGGCGTAGTATTATTCTGCGATTGATTTTAAGTTTGATCAAACATCTGATACCGTGAAGAGTAAATGTGGAAACGAGAAGGTGAAACGATTCACCATGACCAGACCCTAATTAGGATCTCGCCGTTCAATCATCTACCCAGGTTATCAACTGATATTTCGAATATAAAGATGAGGTATCTTGAACCAATTCGAATATACAACTATAATTTTAGCACCCAGTGGGACTGCGTTGCGTCAGTTGCGTATGTTGGATTGAGCCTTCTGTACGCTTATCAGTGGCACAGTAAATAGCCGCTGCGATCTCTGTGATCTACGATGGCCAAGGCGCAACGTGGGAACAAGAAGGGTGATTCCCAAGTAGCCGCCACCTAACTTAACGAAGTCCACCTCGGGCGGACGAGTAAACGTATACGTGGTATCTGCGAGTCAAAACAACAAATGATTCACGTGGTCAAGGCGGAGAACGAAACATCGTGGGTCATAACCAGACCGCAATCAGCTTCTCCACGATTCAAAACTTACCCCTTCTGCGGAGGGCGTTGCAAGGGAACGCAGCATAGTGTTCCATGACTTGATGGCCGGGAAGGCTTGGTCAGACACCTACTCAGTCAGTCTTTGACGAATACAAAAGGGCGCCTCATTCGCTAACCAGCTGCTCACTACCGAAGCAGCTCATCAATTTGTTTGCCTACTGTGGACCATTGTCTTGGCATGTTTTCCCCATCTATATACAATATGTAGATCCTTTTTGAACACATAGAGCTTACATGTGGGCCTGGCCACTCTTTTGCCTCTTGATTGATCTAGATACCAGTGGTTTTTATCCAGAACCAACCCGTACACAACTATCCAAATTTCATTGTGTGGTTCCCTGGTGAGTCTTGGAATTTTTGATCCATCAATCTCCATCACTACTTCACATAACTGAAGCTTGATAAAAAATACATATTTCATTGTTATCTTTCCTTCCTAAACCAAGCTATCAGAATATCTTGTAAATCGTCATCATTCATTGTTGTCATTCGCTGAAATCACTTGAGGGATTATGATTGACTCAATCAACCACAAACCAGCCCAACCTATACGCACACCCTCTCTCAAACCCAGTTCAACTCAAAGCCGCTATCTTCCTACACAGCCAGAATTATTTTCCAAGTGAATCAATACTGAGATCTTCTGTTTGAACCAATCATGATCGGTGTCCAATTAAGAAAAATGGTTCTAATTAGCTTGATCTCAAGTATTTCAATCATACCAATGATGTGTGAAATTGTAGAGGATTCAGAAGATATTGCAGGGTTCTCAAGGTTTAGCAAACCACGTACTTCGCTTGAAGATGATGACCAAATGCAGCGTAGTGAACCTTCAACATCATGTTACAACTTTTTCTGTACTTGGACCAGTACATGTATTGATATTGGCTGCAGTGGTTGTGCTCCTACTGGTAGGTGTTACTAAAAAATGTGTTAAGGTACATACAATCTATCATGAGGTATACTATCTTGCTTTAGAATGGCTTTTTGTATCTTGAATCCTTCACATTTGCTCTACAGATCTTGATGCTATTGAGATAATCAACTTAGCTTCATCTTTTCTTTCTTAGAGCACCCACTATCATGATGGTGATTTAACATAGATTTAGCGTTCCTGAGTGCAAGATTTAATCATGCGTGTAACAACTAAATTAGTAAACGCACAAAATCCACTATGAGCTGCTTTACAATCTGATTTACCAACAATAAATCACTGCGAGTCAACAAATTCCACAGTGGTATGATCTTGCAATGAATTATCTCATTCCTCATAATTTTTCTCCAAAGATCAATCAACTCATCATCACAATGTTCAAATACAAGTTGATGACCTTTTGAAGTCTTCAAATAACAAGAGGAACAACAAGAATAAGACCAACTGGTCTTGACTTCTTGTTTGATAAACCTTGCATACCACCTCTGCTTCCTCACACTCAAAGCTGAATTGGTTGAGACCCATCAAGACTGCACTCAACATGCTCGGAAACTATATGATGAATCTCTTGCACCTAACAGTAACACTAGATATGAAGTCAAGCTCAAACAATTGAAGATATACAATTGCATGACTGATTTTAACTCATGAATTCTTTAGAACAGGATATTTCAATCCAAATGAATTCTTACATATTATCAAAACAACAAACAATGTTGAATGATTGATTAAGAAAGGAATTGAGAAACTATTTAAATAAATCAACATTTGGAGTAGTTCAAAGTTGACTTTTGAGGATGAGTTTTGAAGTTTGAACCTTGAAGTTGAGGTGTTGAGGTTTGAACATTGAGGTTTGAAGTTTGAACAATGAGTTTTGATGTTTGATGTTTTGAAAAATGCAGTTGGTGACCGATTATCTTACAATAAATCAATTTGTAGGCTTGTGTAGATCTGAAGACACAAAGTGAAAGACTTGACGCAGCCGTACGGACCACAGGTCTAAAACAGGTCCATAGTGGACCTGTTGGTATTAGCGTTAAGGTAACGCTAAATCATGTCGTTAACACAACCATAGTGGGTGCTCTTGATGACTCATTATTCATAGTTAATTACCTTATGACATGTTTCATTTATTCTCTGACATCATATATAGAGGAACAACATTAATTATTCTACAGTAAAGAGTTTGTCACACTCTGATTATTTAAGAAGCTCAAGTTTGAATCATGAATTGAAAGCAATTGCGGGATACAAAGTAGAATCCGGGCACGTGCCTGGAATTATTTTGGCAGTAAATTTCGATTTTCTAGGCAAAAGTCCAGGCCCAGAATTCAAATTTACTGCCAAAGAAAATCTGGGCACAAAGCCGGGCACGTGCCTGGCTTCTACTTTGTATCCCGTAAATACATCAAGATTACAATACACTGCATTAAACCAAAATTGTTCAGATTATTCATCTGCTTCTTTACCTCCTATTGAAAATTGTCAAAGGTTTTCATTGTTGATTTGAATGATTGTTCTAAGAATGTAGTAAATGATCATCAAGTTAGACCTAAATCTACACCATTAGAACTTAATCCAATCCATCAATGTTATTGTAAACCTCTATTCCATACATCAGCTACAACTTTCATAGCCTCTCAAATAACATCCCCCTACAAATAAAGTTTCAGATTTGTCAACTGCTCTTGCAATGACTCACCTGGCCAATACTGAAGGTTATTCTTATCCACTGCAGAACTTAAAGCTCAACAAGAGCTTTACAGAGCTTACAGAGGGATAATCTACTAGTATAACTAACTAATAGAAGTTGCCTGAAGACTGCCTCTTTGAAAGAATCAACAGAGGGATTTGCTGACTTGTTTAGTATAAGGCACTAGAGACATATCTTTCAATACTTAATTCAAGTACAGCTGTTGTGAGAACTATTGGTAAGTTTTCAGGTGATGTGTGTTGCCCAGTTTCAACTTGCCAGGCAAAAACTTGTTCAAAACTCAATTTTGGACTAGACCTTTGCTGACAGTGTTTGCATACCAAAGCCAGCTGTATTGAGAGATGTCAAAATTCTAATTGAACAGGCCCAAACTTTGGCCCACACGCTCTTGTATGTTCTTGATGTGGATCTTCATGATATACCTTTTCAGATGTACACTCCCAAGTTATGTTGTTGTGCTGTGGTTAGCATGTGCAGTTGCATATGCTGAACCTGAAGGCACTTGGGTTCAAGCACGGGTGTCCACTATTTTTAGAGGCTCTTTCCATTGATCTGAATTTGAAGCCCAAGTCAGTATATTTTCCAAATTTAAAATCATTGTGTTTTTGTTTGGGGCATGAAAAAGACATCATAAACATGGGTACCACTGCGTCAAACAAATGTCTTATGAAAACAATTGCAACACCAGAAGTTGAAAGAAAGGTGCACCAGAGGATTGAACCTTAAGATAGTAAGCAAAGTTCTGACCTGTGAAGTTGGTGCTCTCTCTGCAGCAAGACCAATTGAATGATTGGAAGGTTGAGACATCTGACACTATCAAATCTGTTGAAAGACATGGCGGGATGCAGGCGACATGTTCAACTCAATGTTTGACAGAATATACCGGCATGGGTATCAACAAAGTTTCAGCCAAAAACTGGGTTTTCAATTGATTTTTGCCTGGGGTCATGGTTGGTAGACAGATGTGTAAGATTGGGGGTGCTTTTGAACCACGGACACGCAGGGGCTCTGAAACCATTGTATGATGACTGCTGCGCCTGTAAAGCTGCAGATAAAATCATACTTCAAAACACATTTTCCAAAGGGGTGCTTACAACACATGACAGACTTTTCAGAAATCTGAAGCGCAGCTGGCAGCCACTGAGCTGAAATGCCTCAAGAGCACAGCTTGATCAGCTGCACTCCAGCTGGACTGGTGTTTCTCATACAACCAAAAACAAATCCAATGTCTACTAAAATCAAGAGATCTATTGTATCTTATGATGTCAAAGACAGAACTTTATACAATAAAGTTATACAAATTGAAGTCCTGGATGACCACCATATCAAAAACTTGATATTACAAAGCAGTCATGATAGCTTAATTGCTGGACATCCAAGTGGAGTTGAGACTCTCAGTTTGGTATGTAGAAGTCTCATGTGACCTTCCCAAAACTTGTATGTAAACAGGGACTAAGGTAGGTAGCTGTATCCCCCTTCTGTGAGAGTACCTGAGATCCCCACAAGAGGGCTGGCAAGTTGTACAGCTTTTATTTCATTTTTTTCCCAGTGGTGCTACCTTTTTTACTCTCACCTTTTGTGTCAGGACAATTCCTATACTGAGCAACCTGTATCACAAAGAGTAAGCTGTTTTTGAATCTTTGTGTTGTAGTTAGATAAGTTTAGAATCTAGATTAATCATGTGTATGATTTGCAGCATGGAAGCTCCTGAGACTTAGATGTGATCTTAGTGATATCAAATAGAATCTCATATCATAGTCTGAATAATGTTAGCAAGTGATATAGACATACCAAGTGATATAAAACAAGATGTCAGAGTCTGATAGAATCAATATCCAGCAGCACAGACCCTTGAAATTACAATTCTGAATGTGATTTATGCAACATGATCCTTGTAAGATAGAGATCCAGCTATTGGACTTGTAAATATGAAACTCAAGATCCTTTTGCAAGTGATATTCATAAAATAAAAAGTCTTCCATCATTCAGAAGACATCACATACCTTTCTTTTGCATATGCATCACAATTTATTAAGGCCTTAGCAAAAAAGCTAAAGACTCTTAATGAGATATACAATGACCTTCAAGGTTTGATCTCAAATGACAGAAAAATGCATATGCATCACAATTTATTAAGGCCTTAGCAAAAAAGCTAAAGACTCTTAATGAGATATACAATGACCTTCAAGGTTTGATCTCAAATGACAGAAAAATGAAGAGGTGATTATTGTCTATATCAATTACAATCCACCATGGTTCAAATGATTGAAAGAGTGACAAGAAATAAATCAAATGATGTTCAACAAATAAAATCAGCGAGTGTTACTGTCAGCCTGAGCCAGGCCTTGATACTTATGTTGATTTCAAAAATTTTGAATGTTGAGTTGATTTTGTATCACTTTCTTTGATGTAGAAAAGTGGGAGACCATTTTCAAGCACACTAAATTCAAGCCACTCTAATATTTTGGCAGAGAATCATCATAACCAATCTACTCATGTGGCTATCACAAGATAATTGGACTCATTTACTGAAGATTTTCCGAGTAATTTTTTTGTGCTTAGCTATTCATGATGGGCGGAAGCATTTACTTTGATTCTTTGAACCTGTACAAGACAGCCCTGGCCAATCATTTTGCTATGTGGCGATATCTGAAAACACACATTAACACTCTGTTTGAGATCTTTCCTTGATGCAAACATAAAATTTGAAAACTTCAGAAACCACTTTTTGACTGTTGAATGCAGGTTCTTTTAATTATTTGGATACCTGACTGGCAATGAAATTTTCCCAAGCATGCAGAGTGTGCAGTTAAATATCTGATTGTTCACCACGTCATCGAGAAAAAGCGGTTATGATTCCATGGACTGCAAAGACTACATAGCGCAGATGTACAACTTACCCACTTATTGCGACATGAGAGATACACATGAGAGAAATAGCTCCTACAAAAGCCACATCATCAACAGCTACAAGTCAAAATTATGAATGAAGGAAAGAAAAATCGAATTTGACGAGACAGGGTGTCAATAACTACTTCAGCCTAAGATCTCAAAGGCGGTAGTCTTAGACATCTATTTAAAAAACACTTCAAGATTATCTGCATGTTCATCATGAGTACTCGCGCTTGGGTTGATATGGGATATTTCCATTCGAGGATGAGCACTCTCTTCTAAACCTTTTGAAAATCCATCATACGGCGTGCTTGCGAGATACGATGTCGAGTGCTCATTCCAAGGTTCTGGTTGCATCAGTGATGCCTCTGAATGGCAATATTCACGGAACGCTGATTGGTCCATATTCTCATTGGGCGCAAAGTGAGATCCTGTGAGATACGAGGGACCGAGCGAGATTCGCGGGTGGGAAAAGGAAAATGGTGGCCAAGAGTTTTGTTCAGTGGTACAAACGCTCGGTATGCCTACGTTTTGACTAGTCAGATTTGAGAGCTGTGAGTATGACTCAGTATCCAGTTGACATGGATTCGGAAACATCGAGGAAGTGTTTGCCTTTCGGCTTGGTTGAAAGGGCTGCATCGGTATCAGCTGTCGAGAAGAAAGCAAATCCGAATCGGATGGCACTGCAAATGGCTCCATCATGATATGGGAGTAGGGCTCCCTCGCTACTTCAGGAATCGTGTTGACAGTGGATGAGATAGGCAAGTCCGCATAGGATGGTACACGATCGACTTCGAAATCTGGTGAAGAGTGCATTGGAAAATTTGAAGAAAGATGAGGTGTCCTTGGACTTTCGTTATATGCCGGAGAAAACCCAATTGACGAAAGATGGTCCTGGAACGAGTATGGAACACCAGAACTTGACGCATAACCAGATCCCGAATGGTTGATTTCGTGAAGATACGGACTGAAACAACTGGTGGGCGGATACTCTGGATACCTGATACTAGCGATAGGTGTGGCATGGGACAAGTCAGAACAAAATGTGCGTCCTTGCGTTGATCGGACGGGAGAGTAAGCGCCTTGCACGCGCGATGTCTTGGGTGAAGGTTTGGATTTCGAAGCCGTGGCGCGAGGTTTCGAAGCCGGCGCCGACTCTGACTGCTGTTTTTTCTGTGCCGCAACAATCGCTAGTTTCCGCTTGTGGTTTTCCCGTTGCATACCTTTATGTACCTGGACGAGCAATAACTCAGTTTGGCGATTCTCCTCGAGGGCGTACTTATGTACAGACGACTTATGCTGCCTGTGCATCATCCCGACAATCAGTGAAAGGCTCGCGTAATGAGAGATTTTAATGAAGCTTATTTCACCTCCAATTATCCAAACGACTGAATGCCTTTTTGCAATGACACCTGAATGGTTTCTCTTTTGTGTGTTTTCTATGGAGCAGGACAACAGAGAATTAAGATACCAGTACGATCCAGTCTCTGGCCCAACGTTGAGAAGCTTACCGCTCGTGACGTGCCAGATGTTCGGCTCGGGTGAACCTCATCTCACAAAACGGGTCAAGAAAGCATTTGAAGATTTTCAGGACTGCTGAAGGTTCTTGACTTTGTGGATCCTGTGGATCGACGTGTTGACGCTTGATGGACTGGAGATTATCCGACTCGGTCGGGGGCAAAGATCTTTTGGGAGTGGCGACGAGGTCCTCTGAACGAATTTCATCGTTCTGCGATATGACATCCTGGTGTCCCGTCCACTCTTGGGGGCACAATTCTTCGGATCCAGAAGAATCAATTGATCCATACGGGCCTGCCGGAGCGTTTGCTGGGGCAGCGTCCAAGATATGCCGATACGCTCCCAGACTGTGTAGCCTTTATTTTTGGCAGAGAACAAACAAATAGAACGGAAAGAATTAGGTTGGCAGATTCAGATCTGCTATGCTTCTTTCTATGGTTGAACATGGCAAGACAAAAGCCTCACGAATGCTGGCCTTCATCGACCTGATCATGGGGATCTTGTTGCATCTGGTCCGTCATCCTTAAAGTTGGAGATCAGGACGGGGACAGGGCAAACTTGAGGGTCGCGGAAGGGGGCGCGTAAGCTCGAATCCGGTGAAGAGTCGTCAAAGTTCTGAAAAACTGGATATTCTATCAAACGTTGGCGTTGAGGTTAGGACAAAATGTAGACTCTCAAGGAAAAAAGGACCAGGACAGACCGGAGTTCAAGGGGTAAAAGTTGAAGATTAGCTGAATCAACAAAGAAATTTAGGAACTAAAAAAGTTGGAAGAAGGCAAATCAGGTGAACGAATCTAGCTTTTTTGAATACCTCAGTGTTCTGAATTATGCTGGGAATTAGATAAACATTCGGCGAGCAGGAGTACGATTTGAGTGCTCAAGATGCTTTCATAATATTACAGCAATTGGCAATCCCGTTTCCAGGTCTCGTCAATGCTAAATTCATCACAGCTACAAAACCGCATGTGCATTTGCAAGGATATGACTTTTCATTGGTGGCAATCATGATTGGTCACCGTTGATCGGGGCTCTGATCTCCACGCGATACGTTAGTGGACGCTCTTTAAAGATGGAAATGGCTTGATCAATCTTTTCACACTTCGGTTCAGACGTTGAGACACTTCACTTTCATCGCTTTCTTTACTGATCCTTGGCCCTCGAGATAATGCGCATTCTTGCTTAGAAATCTCTTTCTCAGTCTGCCGGGTCGTCTTGAGTTGTCCAGTGAATTTCGGTAGCGTGGCACGAGCAAGATCGGCGGAATTGCCGGATGAGGTTACCAGTTCTGAAGCAGCGACACGGAATGAGTCGAGTGAAAATTATTTGCATACCAAGAACCACCACCCGTAGCAAGATTTGAGATCACAATGCTCTTTACCTTTGAAATTTTTCTTGGGACGTCACAAGCTTGCGTGGTTGTCCATCATTTTCATGGGGAAGAACAGGTTTTCCCTAAGCACAACCTGAGATCCTTATATACTAATTTATTTATCTTCGCCAGGAGAAGAAATTTATTCATCTTCGCCATGAGGAAAGACCAAGGAGCATAGCAAGATATCAGAAGCAATTGAAACCATGATACCTGGCGATCCTATACCCAGGCAGCCCCTCAGGCTGCATGGATTCGTGGCCCAGTGGTAAGGCGCTCGCCTTCGATATGGGCGTAGCGAGAGATCGTCGGTTCGACCCCGGCCGGATTCACATTTTTTTGTCCATGTCGCGCCTATGCTACTCATTTCCCCAAATTTTTTCCCGCCAGTCAGGACAATTTCACCGCCGGATAACCTGCCAGGATATTTGAAAGTGTGTTGGGTGTTGTGCAAACAGGGGCTGCAACAAGTACCATGAATGTAACAGCTCCGGAAGAGCATAGCATGTGTTCAATATCAGACTGAGGTTGACTAAGCATCTGTCTCACTGGTAATGGAAGCTTAAACCCTTTCAGGAAGTGCTCTCATAATTAAAAAGAGCTCTGACCAACGATCAGGGCATGGAAAACCATAGCTGCTAAGACTTTCCCTTCAAGAAGCCCTTGACTGAACTTGAGGATTGTTAGGACCGAGGCGGCGAGATGAGGACGAGGAGACAAAGATGACTATAGGCTGATAACTGGATTGCAACGTGAGAGAGCAGCAGTACAACGTGGTCGAGCAGCTAGTAGTATGGAAGGGCTGCTACACAGTATAAGCATAAGCTATGTATTAGGCTTATTACATCATCCCCCCTTTATACCTCCACCCCCTCTTGATGGGTTAGGTATCTTCCCACGGGTTGGCATTAAAAACCACTTGGGAAAAAAGCCTCACCCTCTCTTATCTTCTCCGTGTCCTGAAATAATTACTTTCTGCTTGAGGATATTTTGTGTTGAAAACATTTACTAATTCCTTTGCATTGTCTAAATTTCCTTCTGGTTCCCATGAGTCGTGATTTGATTCGTATCCTTTCCAACTTATTAAATATTCAGTTTTACCTCTTCTCTTCCTCTTGTTCAGAATTTCTTCTACTTCAAATTCTTCTTGCTCTTGAATCATTACCGGTTCTGGTTCTTCTACTATTTGTCCAGGGATTTCACTCTTGTTGAATTTTCTGAGTAGTTTGACATGAAATACAGGGTGTACATTCTTCATTTCCCTAGGTAATGACAATTTGTAAGCATTAGTTGAAATCTGTTCTACAATCTGGTACGGGCCCAGCCATCTATGAGATAACTTAGCCGTAGGTCTTGTAGTTGAAATGTGTTTGCTGTTGAGCCACACATAATCTCCTTTGTCCCATTTCGGCGTCGCAAGCACTTTCTTATTGAATTGTTGTTTCATTTCGTCTTGAGCTTATTTCATTGCATATCTTAGGTCTTCTTGTACTTCTCGTATTTGGGTGATTGATTCTTGAACCGCTGGTAGACACTGATCAGTCCTGATTGTTCCTGTCAGACTAACATCGAAGCCGTAATTGGCTTTGAACGGTGACATCCCTATTGACACATGGAGATTATTATTATACGAAAACTCAGCTAATGGTAATAATTCTTGCCAGTTGTCTTGTTTATAGGATGTGAAGTGCCGTATATACTGTTCGACTGCCTTGTTCGTGATCTCTGACTGCCCGTCCGTTTGTGGGTGATAGGCGGTTGATGCTTGAGTCTTGATGCCTAATAATTTATTCATTTCTTTCGTTAATCTTGATATAAAAATGTTCCCACGATCTGATGTGATTGATTTGGGAGTGCCGTGAATCTTCCAGATATTCTGTAGCATGACTTTTGCTAGTTCTTCAGAGCTCATCGATTTCTTACACGGTAAAAAATGAGCCATCTTGCTAAATCTGTCGACTACTGTTAGTATGCTGTCACATCCTCCTGAATCTGGTAGGTCAGTAATCATATCATAGCACACATCAGTCCAAGGACCTAACGGGATTGGTAGCGGCTGCAGTGATCCAAAAGGTTTGCTGGTTCTTGATTTTACTCTTTGACATGACTGACAACCTTCAACATACTTGTTGATATACATCTTCATTGATGGCCAATGAAACATTCATTTTACAAGCATTAGAGTTCTCATTCTTCCTGGATGACCGGCCATTAAGCTGCTGTGTCGTGATTTGAGGATTTGTAACTTGATGTTGTTGTTGTCGGGGACTACAATCCTATCTCGAAAATAGAGCACATCATCAATAACAGCATAATCAGAGATAATCTTTGAATTTGGCATTTCTTGACACAGTTCAGTTATGTGCTTTACACGGTCGTCGTCAAGCGAATTTTTTTTGATCTCTTGTATGATGCGTGCGTCAGTCCATACTCCATCCTCTTTATCTTCTTCATCTTCCCTTATGTCTTCAATTTCTCCTAGCCCATTGATTTCGTCGATGTCGATGTTGATAGATTCCTCGTTCACGAACCACGAGTCCACTAGGTCCAAAGCGTCAATGAAAGCATCGGCTGGAAGGTTCTCAGGTTTTAGAAGTCGTCCGAATGTCAGTTTGTCGCCATCTGCTGGTTTCAGATCAGGACGTCGAGAGAGTGCGTCTGGCTTAGTGGATTGTTTCCCTGGGCGAAACCGGATTTCGAAATCGAAACTACCCATAATTTCCGCCCACCTTGCCTGCCGTCTAGTTAGCTCTTTAGTGGTCATCAGCGATTCAAGGTTTTTGTGATCGGTATATACTATGACACTTAGCCTATTTGGGTTCCCTTCAAGGTAGTGTCTCCACTCCTTGAAGGCTGACACTACTGCCAATAACTCCTTGTCAAAGACTTCATAATTCCTCTCGGCTTTAATTAAAGACCTTGATAAGTATGCCACCGGGTGAAGCACGTTGTCGGATTCAGATACTTGCGAAAGGACTGCCCCTAGGGCAAAATCCGAGCAATCACACTCTAAGACGAAAGGCCGGTACGGATCAGCGATGCTTAAGACTGGTGCTGTTGTAAAGGCGTGCTTCAGTGCTTCAAATGCGTTATTCCTCTCTTCCGTCCAATCGAATTTAACATCAGCTTGTGAGAGTTTGTGTAATGGCTTTGCTATCTTTGAGAAGTGATGTATAAATTGCCTATAGAAATTAGAGAAGCCTAAGAACGTGAGCACTTCTGATAAATTCTTTGGTGCTGGCCATTCTCGAACCGCTTTAACTTTGGTTTCATCCATTTTAATTTGATTTCGTGAGATAATGAGACCTAAGTATGCAATTTCTTTTTGAGAGAACTTGCATTTTTCCGGTTTGAGCCATACGTTTTGAGCCTTCAAGATATCTAGAACTTCTTTGACTACTTTCTTGTGGTCCACTCCAGGTTTTGTATAAATTAATATGTCATCTTGATATGCTGCCACGTCCCTTCCTATCCGAGTTCTTAGAATATCTTGAATGAAGAATTGAAAGAAGCCTGGGGCTCCAGTTGGCTCGAACGGCATTGTCAGAGGTTCAAATTGACCCTCTTTACAAATAAAAGCTAGCTTGGCTTCATCACCTTCTTGTACTCTTAAGTTATTATAGCCATTTCTCATGTCTAAACTTGTGTATTCATCAGCATCTAATAGGCTATCCACTAGTTCCATCGTGAGGGGTAATGGATATTTGTTTTTGATAGTTAATGAGTTCAGCTTTCAATAATCAAAACACGGGCGCAAATTTCCGTCTTTCTTGCCTGTAAAGAGCACTGGCGCCGCCCACGGGGAAGTTGTTCGGCGCAATGTTCCATTCGCAAGGCCCTTCTCTAGCATCTCGTGTAAAACTTCGGTTTCTTTTGGTGACAACGGAATAATCCTGCCTGCTTGAGGTGTGGCGTTTGGGACTAAATCAACTCTAAAGTCATATGGTCGATGAGGTGGTAAAACATTTGACTTTGACTTTTCAAACATTTCGAGGTAGTCATGATAACATTCAGGCACTAATTCTTGAGCAGTCCGTTCGACTTTTCCCTTCGACGCTTCGACCGCTAATCTTGTAGAGACATTCCACGAAGATTCGGCTGCATCAATCATAGCCTGTGTTGGTACGTGTGTCACCATCTTGCTTAAATTTCGTCGTAGCATTGAACCTGTGTTTACGGATCTTTTCCAAAAGGGAAACTGCTTGCTAACATTCTTTTTACTCATAGGGTTAAGAAAATTAAGTGACTCACTCTGCGGGGGTTTTAACGAGTTCTTTTGAAGCTCAACCCCCATCTCAATGTTCCTAGCGTTCCCCTGAGGCCTCATAACGTGGTCAGTCGGGGTTGTTTTTGGATTTAGAGATTGCAGAGTGTCCATTATGCCGGGTTCCTTGGATGACAGTTCTAAAGGGAGATCCTGATCGACAGCCAATTCATTCACATTTTTAGAAATAGAAGCATCGAACTCACATTGCGGGGGTGATAATAAGCATAAAGCTTGCACCCCCTCGTCACTAAACCTAGCTTTCCCTCCAAGCCTCAATTCGTGGTCTTGCAAGGATTTTTTCGGTGTGGACGAAACTGTAGAAACAGTTGCAATTTTGGATTCTTCAGTGCTTTTCAACTTTGAGTTTTCC